CCTCCTATCAGAAGCTGTTGACCCTTTTCCCAGAGGTTATCAGTGTGTTAAGACTGATATTTGCCCCTAGATTCTGTGTGGCATACTGTAGGTTTACGATGCCCTGACCTCCTCCTCACCCATCTTAGAAGATAGGGGCAAGATGCAGAAAGAAACTTTCCCGCTCATCAGGAGCGCGCATTTCTCCTCGTAAGGAGAAAAATCACGATGAAACAGGGAAATTTTGCATATTTGGGCAAGGGATCTGATTTACAGTGATCCGGGGCCAATAAGCACTGGCTGAAGAGTGGGAGAGCGAACTTCTTTTATTTTGGGGGATGCGAAAAGAATTGGTGTGAAGGGAACGATTTTCAAGAACAACATCGTATTTTACTAGGTTTTGGGATGGCTTGGAACGGTTTTGCCGTCGCCTGGGAATGGAAATCCTAGATTCATTGGGCAATAGTTGTAAAATGAATTTCTAGGACCGTTTTGCTTCTCCTAGCGTTTTATTGATTGAATGCGAGTTAATCTTACTGATTGTTTGCTAAACTACTTCAAAAATCAAGAAATACGAACATATTTTAGAAAATGATTGGTTTGAAGTGTGATTTTTTTAGATACGACTTTTTATCATTGATTTGTGAGAAACAACAGGAAATAACTTCATAAAGCTAACCTGTTTGCTTGACAGAGGAGAAAGATTATGATTGGAGTGAGAGGTTGGTTAGATTGGGATGAGCCGTATAGTACATTACAGACAATAATAAGTGGTTGATTGGAAAATTCACTATTCTATATGCTTTGTTTTCTTACCCAGCCATCAAAATTGGTATATGTATACCGATTGATAGTTTGTAAAAAAAATGCAATGAATGTTGCCAGAGTATGCGCCGTGCGCCTGAATATACTTTAGGTTTGCCAAGCTATTTGGAGGGTGTAAGGTCTGCATAAAAAGAATCATTTGTGAACGAAATGGTAACAAAATTGATTTTTCTAGCAGCAAAAAGGTGCGCCATGCTTTGCAATATTTTAGGAAAGTTTAACC